ATAGACTCAACAACCCATTTTTTGATAGTAAACTTTTATGCAGTCACACACCAAAATAGAAGTTGTCACATTCCTTGTTTTTCAAGTTACCCAGCTCACAGGGTTAACATACTGTAGTTGTAGCCATCTTGTATTTAGACATGGCAACTCAATTTTAGATAGGAACCTTTCTTATACCAAAATAAAGGTCGGAACCTCACTTATTTTTAAGTTATCGTGCTCACAACATGCACAGATGGACAGACGGATAGACGGACAAATTGACACAGGGTATTTACATTTTCCACTCCTTTTGGCTCGAAAAAGGGCTTTTCTTTAGCTGAAGATGGACAAAAGCATAGTCCTTAAGTGGGTAAATAGTTCAGCGGTTTGAGAAAAACATTTCTAGGGGTTTCATGAATTACACTTTGCTTAAAAATTCAAACATGTTTACAACAGAATACTGAAAGCAAGCAGATGAAAAATTTCAACAACTGAGAGAAATGATCACAAACTAGTTCATTATTAGTATGTGAACTTGGTTCAGACTTTCAGATGGTAAATAATAAACATGAACCACTTCATTCTAGTTTGAACTCTAACAAACAAAAACAAAATTCTTATTTTGAAGTCAAGGCAGGAACATTTTAGAGCTAAAAATAAAGGATAATTCATCTTGTTTTAACTCCCTGTCAGCTCACATGATTTTTGAGTAAAAGTTTCCTTCATTACCAAGAAAACAAGTAGCCACAAAGTTTACTTTAAATTCTTTATATATACAGACTTCTGCTGCCTTAAACATGAGCCAAAACAATATGTTTAAATATAAAAAAAGCATTGTTTATGTGTCTCAGTACAATCTCAGAAAAATACAAAATATTTCAAATGTTGTGTTGTTGTTTTTTGTTGTTTGTTTTTTGGGTTGTTGACAGTAAACTAAACAAGATATGTTATTGCCAACTATACTCTTGGCAAAATGTAAGATAAACAATTTAAAAATTGCTGGTGTTATATTGTCACGCTCCAAACAAAAGTGGAGCTAAGTAGTTCAGCTGGGACAGAAACTATCGCCTGACAGACATAATGGCCACTTCAGTTTCACTGCTTCCACAAAATAAAACATAAATTCTGAATAATTATGCGTTGTGTTTAAGCTGCTCTTATGTTAGAATAAACAGCTCTTTTTTTTTCAGAGGTGTTTTAAAATGTGGGAAGACACAGCTGAGCAAACTCTGTTATTTCAATCAACACGAGATGATTGTGAAGGAAAGCATTCAGGTGAAAAGTACCGATCACAGCATTTCACTACTGCCTGAACTACCACAATCATTTCTAGCTCACAGTGAGCTCAGATCCCTCTGTCAGAGGAAAAACGAATCCACGTTGGAACATTAAGCGTGGTTGTGAAACCTAAAATAAGTCTTTGTTCAAAGGGACGTCCTCACTTCCATTCATCATGCATATACTTTAACATCCAAAAAACACTAAGATTTTATAGTCGAAACAATTTGATACTCAATAGCATGATGCCCTAAAGCTAGTATCTGAATGTTCATGAGGAAGTCTCCAGAATGCCTCGGACATTTGTGGGCTTCTCAGTTTCTCCCCAAGTTGCAGTGGCTCTCAGCCCAGCCAAGTGAATTTTGAGCACGTTTTATAAAAATCTGTGCAAGAACTTTCCTCTAGAATGAGTCTCAAGTCAGTATGGGTCTCCAACACATCTTCAATCCTCCTGAATTGTGTCTGGGGTGTCTCCACCTTAGCTCAAAAGTGCTAAAGGTGTACAGTCCCTCACTTATCGTGAGGGTTACGTTCCAGATAGCCCTGCGATAGGTGACTATCTTGAAGTAGGGACATTATATTTATTTTAGTATTTACTGTATATGTATATAAAGGCTTTATAAACCCTTCCCACACTCTTGCAATGTTCTTAACAACGTTCTAAACTCTCTAAAAGAGCACTGCAAACGAGAGCAGACAAACTGATGCTACGGTTACTGAGCCAATCAGCGCCCAGGGGCGGACTGGCCATCGGGAGCACCACGACATTACATTCGGGAAATGCCCTGGCTCGGCTCGGTTCAGATTAAGGCTCGTTTCAGGTTGTGCTTGATTATTTTAAATAAACAATCCCTCACTCGGGTATCCACCTCAGTGAGGATCCCACAGCAGCGATGGGGAAAGACAGACCCCACCCCCTCCTTTATCTTTCTGAGGCTGTCACGCTCAGAAAGAGAAAGAAGGGGGCCCCTCAGCGACCACTGAGCGGGCCAGGCCACCGGGAAACAATATGTACAATCTTACCTTGAAAACCCGTGAAAGAGTGAATCTGCAAAAGTCGAACCGCAAAGTATTGAGGGACTACTGTATTTTGATTCTTTGTCCTTTGACAAAAAACATCTTAGGCAGATGTCCAGGACTAAAAAACACTATAATGGTGAACAAATCATAAAGTACTGGTCCAGATCTGCCCATTTTTATCTCCAGGATATATTGTCTGAACTAAAGATATGGGGCTTCATTTGAAAACTGGTTTCATGCA